CGTCCAACCAAATTTAAAAATTGCCTATATGTAATTGTGTAAATTTTAGGGCAATACTTTAAAGGGAGAGGCAGTTACCGTCATTATATTAAACTCAAAATATTCAGCAAGAAAAACACAGGCTTAAGGCTTCAGTGGAGCGGGGAGAACCAGAAAGAACAGGAAGGAGAGCTGGCGACAGAGGACTGCCTCCGAAACCCAGCGCAGGTAGGGTTACCTGCAATGGAAACTTCACAGCCAAACCCGGCTCAGGCGACCCAAGATTCAGGGAAAGATACACCCGGAAACGGTATTTCAGCTGGTGTTATGTTCACAGGGGATGGCGAAGCCAACGAGCAGAGAACAGACAAGAGCGGAGATGCTGCAAGGCAGGTCAGGGGCCCAAACTTATTTAACCTATGGCCCCTTTTCAGGGGGAAAAAAAAAGAAAAAACAACGACTCAGCAACCCCTTAGAAATCTCTCTCTTTTAAGCCAACAACTCAAACGCCGTGGCCGTGGCCGGCTCACACCCAAGGCCACCAGTGAGCTCCCCTGGAATGGCAGCGCCCGTTTTGGGAAACAGTGGGCAAAACCCTGTCTGAGACCGCAATGGAGGAGAGCAAAAATCAAAAACCAAGAGCAGGGAGGTGCTCTACCCTGGCTAAAAGAAGGTACTGGGGGCCGGGGGGGCGGTGGCTGGAGCCATAGCACAGCCGGTAGGGCGTTTGCCTTGCACGCGGCCGACCCAGGTTCGATTCCCAGAATCCCAAATGGTGCCCTGAGCACCGCCAGGGGTAATTCCTGAGTGCAGAGCCAGGAGTGACCCCTGAGCATCGCTGGGTATGACCCAAAAAGCAGGGAAAAAAAAAAAAGAAGGTATGGGGGTGAGTTCCAGGGACCCTGAGTCCAAGCTGTTTCTTAAGTACCACCTGGGTCCCTCTGCCTACACACACACACACACACACACACACACACACACGCAATGGGTCCCTGTAGCACCTCCAGCATTAGAAGGACGGCTGAGAAAGAGGACGCCAGCAGGATTTCCAAGGATTCCCTTTTAGAAATACTAGATCGAGAGGCCGACTGGAGAGACAGCCCAGAGGGCAGGGCACTCGCCTTGTACTCAGTGACCAGGATTCAATCCCTGCCACCCCACGTGTTGTCCCTGGCCACTCCAGGAGTGATCCCTGAGTGGAGAGCCAGGAGTGAGCCCTGAGGACTGCCGGGTATGCCCCCGCAACCAAAAATAAGTCACAAATCAAAGAAGTAACGGGAAAAAATGAGAGAAGACCCTGGGTTACCCACCTCTCTGCTTAACAAACAGGCAAGGAATGGAAGAATTCAAGATGAAGAGGCAAGACCCCAGAGGTCACGCTCACCGCTGCTGTGAGCAAACACGGAACAGAAAACCATGAAGGATTTCCAATCTAAAGCAAGAGCCACTTCAGTGTTCTCGTTTAACCTTCAAAACCCAGGATCGGAAGCAGCCCGAACTGAGAATTCCGCTCCACCCCGACACCCTGTACTCCCGAGTTATTATGAGAACAGACTGCAACGCAGTTCCACTCCTGTTCCAAGACGCAACAAGCCACTTCGACAGGACTTGCTGAAGGAAGCAGAGTGCCTCATCATCTCCTCGTTTACTGATTTATATTTTGGTAGCAAGGTTGCAATTAGCTCACCGGTAGAGAATAAACCTATTTATAACGCAGCGGTCCACCTGAAAGACACAATCATCTAAAAAGGTTTTCGGAGGAAAACGAAGTGCAGCTTTTTTCCCTGTGCCGACTCTGGACTCCCAAGGTCCCTTCTGATGAAGTCCTCGGTCTAACCTTCCCGTGCTCACACGGCCACGACTCCGGCCACCTCGCAGCCTCCATGCTCTTACATAACATCTACATGGTGCCATAAACATACCCGGAATTGCATAAGAATTAAAACATTGCCAAACCAACAAAGCCTTCAGGAAAGCAGGTCACTCCCTCGGCCCATCCATCTCTGATGAGCACAGGTATGCTGTCCCCTCGGACCCAGGCGAAGGCCTGTCCGCAGGAGGAAATCTGAACCAGCCGACAAGAATGTACCCACGAGACGGCACGGTGGTGCTTGATTAAGCATGCAGGGCCTCTGTCAATCTGAAGAATATGTTTTTCTGCCCTATAAGATAAAAAGTAACCCAACATGGTTGTTCACTGAAGTCAGAAACTGCAGCTAAAAATACCGCCCGGCCAACTGGCTATCAGTAAGTCAGTCTCACAACCGGCTCAATCAGAGAGCTGCCCGGACTGTTTCCTGACTGGACCCAGGGAGCACCGAGGCGGTCAGAGAAAGGTTAGGCGATTTGTTCAAGGACAACCAGGAGGGGGGCGAGGTTCAGAGCGAGAAACCAGCTTCCTCCTTCCACCTGCCACTAACCTTTACTGAGCAAGAGTAGCCATTTTATTATGTTTTAATCACATGCTTTTCAGGTCTTTTTCATGAAACTAATCCAAGGTTCTCCTTTTCCCTAGGAGAGTTCACTTTCACTGCACTTCAAACCCATGTCCACTCAACAAAAGTTAAGCTAAAGTTCGATTTTATCCTCTCGCACAAAAAAAAAAATTTAAATGTGCCCACTGCTACCTCCAATGTCTCCCTTTTTGCTTTGGTCAAAAGAAATGAGTGGCATGTTCTGCTACTAACCAACTTTACATTTTCAAACACTAATGTTAAAATTCCAGAGCTGGGCCTTAAAAACAAACAAACAAACAAAAACACATGGTTTACCTATCAAATGAGTGAAATGCTTATAACCTGAAACTCCTTCTCCTTCTCCTGGGCTTCCCCTCATTCTCAGCCAACGTACAGTGAATTCACAAATAACTGTAATTTTTTAGCACCTGGCCATTGCTGTCCTTAGATCATGTCCAAGGACCAGGCACCCGGGTTCCTCCAGCCCACCTTGGGGAATGCCACAAAGGAACAGGAGGAAAGCAGTCAACTTTCTGTTATCCCAGTCTGCTTTCCCAGAAGTGACGTTCTACTTGAGGCCTCTTGCAACAGTGGTCTCTGTAGCATGCACTATTGGCAACTAGATGTGTCCCAGGGAAAAAAAAAATGCACTGTCTGGCCAAGAAGTTTAAAGGCCTTCGAAAATGTTTGCTGGACACACAACCTAATTTCCAATTTACCAAAAAAAGAAAATAACTTCCTATGATGCCCATCTATCTTTACCCCAGCAAACATCCATTTTAGGAAGGTGAGGGAGAAAAAAAAAACCCAACAACTCTGCCCCATTCAGAACCAGTTGGATTATCATTTATTAACATCCTTAACCGGGCTGACTACAAGAAAAACCCCACAGCCTACCTCAACTCCACAGGGAAGTGGCTGTACAAATTAGAAGTACAGATATTAGAAACATAGATGTGGTATGTATGCGTTAGGCACGGATCAGGGGCAGGCTAAAAATTCCTACAGAAAGAACATAAAGATTTATTGATACACATTGAAATGAGAAACGTGGAGGCTGTCTCCTTACTTAAACCCCACGAAAGAAATAACATTGTTACACATTCCAGAAGCAGCCCACAATGAGGCCCTGCAAACAAGATTCATGAAAGCCACGCGCTGACCACAAATGCCAGGCTGTGTCCAGACACCTTCCCCGTGTTCACCCGGGGGCCCCCAGCCCCCCTGGCCCTTGCCACGGGGCAGAGACACCCCCTAGCACGGCCCCCGGGAGCACTGGCCCCTGAACAAAGACCCCCGCCACACCGCTGGGACCCGGTATCAGAGCTGCAGATAATGAACTTGTTTGGGAGACTCCAAAGTGCGCCGGGGCCTGGCCTGCCGTGCTTGGGCCCCGGTTGAGGGTCGGGCCCGAACCCACCTGGACAAACGTCACCTAGGCAAGCAGGGGCGCCCCAGAACGCGCACGCTCGCTGGCCCGGGGCTGGCAGGTTCGGGGGGCTGCAGAGAAGGCCAGGCGGCCGGCATCGATCGGGCCAGGCGGGGCAAAGCCCATCCCGATCGCCCCTGCCGGACCCACCCGGGCGGGGGTCAACGATCGCCCGCACGGAAGGAGCAAATGGAACCAAATGGAACCTTCGGCGGCGGAGCCCAAGGCCGGGACACGCTGGAGACGCGGCTGCCCCCCCCCCCGTCGGAGGCTTTCACCTGCTCCAGCACCGCCCCCCGCGCCCCCCCCAGCCCCCCAGCCCGGGCCTCGAGCACCCAGGCGCCAGGCCGAGGGTCCCCCCGAGAGCGAGCACCCTCCTCCCCCCTCCCCCGCCGCCAGCGCCAAGGTGCGCCGGGAGCGCCGGCCGCGGGGGTGGGAAGGTGAGGGGGGCGCGCGGTGGGGGCAGGGCCGGGCGGGGTGGGACCTCGCCGCCCTCCCGGGGGGCTGGGGGCGGGCCCAGGGGTTCCCCCCCGCCGGGCGTCCCCGGAGGGGCTGGAATGAATGGGCCCCCGCGGGGGGTGGGGGCGGCGGGGCGGAGCGCAAACGCACCTCGCCGCTCCGGCGCGCGGCTTCCCGGGGTGGGAGCGCCCCCCGCGCCCCGCGACCCCGCGCCCCGCGACCCCGCGCGTCGTCCTCCCCCCTCCCCCGCGCGCCCCGGCCAGGGCTGGGGGCGGGGGGTGACCCCGCGCCCCTCGCAGGCGCGGCGCGGCGGGGACGCGGGGGCTCCCGGGCCCGGGGCCGGGGAGAGGTTAGAGACCCCCCTGCCCCGGCCAGCGGCGCTGCGCCGCGGCCCCTCGGGAAAGCCAAGACCCCCCGCCCGCAACCGCCCGAGCCCCCACGGTCTTGGCGGGAGGAGACGGCGCCCCCCCCCGCCCCGGGCCCCGGGCCGGGAGCATCCAGAGGGCGGGGATGAAGACCCCCGCCCCGGCCCTGGGGCTGCGGGGCCGCCGAGAGCGGGGCCGCGCCGGGGCGGAGGGGGCGGCGGGCGCGACCCCCGAGGGCCGCCCCCGCGCCCCCGCCCGGCCGGAGCGTGCGCGCGGGGAGGGGGCGCGCGGCCTCGCCCGCCCGCGACTCACCCTGGCTGCCGCGGGGCCCGGACCCGCCGCCGCCCGCCAGCAGGAGGACGAGCAGGGCGAGGAAGCAGGAGGCTCCGGCCGACTCCGCCATAGTAACCGCCGCCGCCGCCGCCGCCGCAGCCCAGCAGCGCCCCGCGCGCGCCCCCGCCGCGCCCCTCCCCCGCCGGCGCCCGCCTCCCGCCGCCCGCCCGCGCCGGCGCCCGCACGTGCGCTCCGCGGACCCGCCGCGCCGCCGCCGCCGCCGCCGCCGCCGCGCGCGCCCCCGAAGGGCGGGGCCGGGCGCGCGCGCGCCGCGCCTGCCTTAAAGGGGAGTGTCCCTGCTGAAGGGGCGGAGGGCGGCGCCGGCCGCAGCCGCCGCCGCCCGCCGGCCCCCGCCCCGCGCCGCCCCTCCCCGCCCCCCCCCCGCGCCGCAGGTCCCCCCGCGCCCCGCACGCGCGTGCTCCCGGAGTCCCCGCCCCGGGGCTCCCCTGGAGCCCGCCCGCCGCGGGACCCCCATCCCCCGCGACCCCCCGGCTGCGACCTGCGCGACCCGCTGGCCTCGCGCCCCCCCCCCTCGTTTCCGCTTGGGAAAGCGGCCGGGCTGACGGATGGCATCTGCCCGGTGCCCAGGTGGCAGGTCTGCGCGGACCCCAAGGGGCCGGCCCGGGGCCGCCGTGGCTCCCAGGTCGAGCGCGTGTCTCGGGCAGGCCCGGGTTTGAGCCCTGGCGCCGGCAGCAATCGAGAAGGTTGGGGTGCAAGCAGAAGAATGGGGGTTTACGATGAGCCTGCACCCATCCTGCACGTCGGTGGCTGGCGGAGGACCTCCCCCCCGCCCCCCGCAGATGAACAAAGAGAGGGGGATCACGCACTGATGGTCAAGACGGCCCGTTCGAGGCATGGGGCATCCGAGGGGTCCAGGGCAGAGGTGGGATTGTGCGGTTCGTCACTTACACAGGCGCTTCTCCTTGGGGGCATTAACTCAAGGAGACGGTCTGTCTCCCAGGGGCTCCACAGGGAGACTCACCCAGGAGCGACCAGCCTTAGATTGCTTTTCTCTTCCCCCGGCTACCAGCAAATATTAAACAATCAAGCTGACTTCTTCTTAATACTGGCAGTTATTTGGGTAAACACGGTAACAGTTATAGATTCCGAAACTTACTTCTCTGGGCTCTGAGGGCAAGCCTGGCCTTTACCGTAAATCCCAGACTAAGTCCTCAGGCTGGTTCAGCTTGTCCTTCCCCGCGGGGGGCCTGTCTCTTAAGTCATAACCATTCGCATCAAGACTGCTTTTGTGCTTTCAAGACTGTCCCCTTTCGATGCCAGGGTGCCTTCGCCACTCGCCCTGGGTCCATCCAAGCCCCACGGGGAGGACCTCCCTTTTTGGGGTGTATGGCACCGGAAGCGTGAGTCAAGCAGTCCCAGGAGGAGACCTAATTCAGAATAAATCAACTCCTAAATATTAAGAGCATAGCATGAACGGTCTTTCCGTGCTTCAGCAAAGAACATTGCTCTATAGTTAAATACGTAAAGGTCATAGAGGAAATAGAGAAGCAAGTGATTCGCTACAAAGTCCAGAGTTACCAGAAGGTTTGACTTATAAGTAACCAAGATTGACTTGGGGAATTGTGACAATGAGAGGTAAAACCCAGAGGAAAGGTTAAAGATAAACTCGGGGGATTAGGCTTGCTCGAAAGAGCACTGTGAGTTACTCTGGAGGGAGGAAAAGGCGCGATTCACCGATGAAGCCTAAAAGACTCAGGGTTAATATTCAACAAGAATGCATTTGGGACAAATATTTATGGAAGAGGCTAACTGTTGCACATTTATCAGGGACAAATGCTGGGAAGTGAAGGAGCGATAATAGAAGACTTAAATTATCACCCATCCAAATGATGAAGCTTTATTTAATAATTATTTATGGAAAATTTACAACCCTAGCCAGCCCATGAGCACTGCCTGTCTCCTCCTCACTCCGACACTCAGCACTGCTCCCGCCCGCCATGGGTGATGAAATCGATATCGCTGAGCTGGTGCTTTCAGTGGCTCCATTATGTGCAAGGCTGGCTTAGTGGGAGGCAACGCCCCCCAATGGTGTCTTCCCCTCCACTGTGGGGCGCCCCCAGCACCAGGTCTAGGACATGATGGTGGGCATGGGCCCGAAAGACATGGGCAGCGAGGCCCTGAGCAAGAGCGACATCCTGATGCTCATGCACACCATCATCACCAACTGGGACGACATGGAGATCTGGCACCACGCCTTCTACAAGAGCTGCGCATGGCCCCCGAGGAGCACCCCACGCTGATGCCCGAGGCCCCCCTGAATCCCCCCCTCCCAAGGCCAACCGTGAGAAGGTGACCCAGGTCATGTTTGAGACCTTCAACACCCCCGCTGTGCTGTCCCTGGATGCCTCTGGCTGCATCACAGGTATGGTGATGGACTCTGGCGACAGGGTCACTCACTCACTCGGTGCCCACCTATGATGAGGGCGACGCACTGCCCCACACCATCCTGGGTCTGAACTTGGCCAGCTGCAACCTGACCGACCACCTCCTCACAATCCTCACAGAGCACGGCCGCCGCTTCACCACCACGGCCGAGTGGGAGATCATGGGTGACATCAAGGAGAAGCTCTGCTACATGGCGCTGGACTTTGAGTGGGAGGTGGCCACGGTGGCCTCCTCGTCTTCCCTGGAGAAGAGCTATGAGCTACAGGCAGATGATCACCCTCAGCAGTGAGCGCTTCCACTGCCCAAGGTGCTGGTTCAGCTCTCCTTTCTGGGTAAGGAGTCCTGTGGCATCCATGAAATGACCTTCAGTTCCACCATGAACTGTGACATGGACATCCGGAGGGCCCGGTATGCCAACACGGGGACAGCACCGCCACGTACCCCGGTATTGCCTACAGGATGCAGAAGGAGATCATCACCCTGGCCCCCGGCACCACGAAGATCATGATCATGACGCCTCCAGAGCGCAAGTACTCTGTGTGGATGGGGCCTCCACCCTGGCCTCGCTATCCGCCTTCCAGGGGATGTGGACCAGTAAGCAGGAGTATGATGAGTCCGGCTCACCCATCATCCACCACAAACGCTTCTAGGCAGACTGTCACTCTGCCCCATCATGCCCTTTTTTTTTTTTTTTGACAAACCCTAACTAGCTCAGAAAATGAGATGAGATTGGTATTGGCTTTATTCATTATCGTTTGGGGTCCCCCCCCCTTTAATTTTTGTTTCTCTTTTGGCACTTGACTCAGGATTTAAAAACTGGACCGGTGGGGCTGGAGAGATAGCACAGCGGGTAGGGCGTTTGTCTTGCTCGCGGCCAACCCGGGTTCGATTTCCAGCATCCCATATGGTCCCCTGAGCACTGCCAGGAGTAACTCCTGAGTGCAGAGCCAGGAGGAACCCCTGTGCATCGCCAGGTGTGACCCAAAAAGCAAAAAAAAAAAAAAAAAGATAAAATAAAAAACTACCAACTCAAGAAAATGTTCATGTGATATTGTTCAATGAAAGGCGAAGTATGAACTAGCTGCTGTATGCTTTCAATTTTCTCTGTCCAAAAGGCCGAAAATTCTGACCCAGTATTATTGTTAGTTATCACCAGGGGCTGGAGCGATAGCACAGCGGTAGGGTGTTCGCCTTACAAGCGGCCAACCCGGCCGACCCGAGTTTGATTCCTCCGCCCCTCTCGGAGAGCCCGGCAAGCTACCGAGAGTATTCGATATGCCAGACACAGTAACAACAAAGTCTCCAATGGAGACGTTACTGGGCCCGCTCGAGCAAATCGACGATCAACGGGAGGGCCTTTACCTTTACCTTTACCTATCACCAGGGTAATTTGCATTTTCTTCAAAATTCTCACTATTTTCTAAATATTTTACAAAACTAAGCAAGCATAGCTCATTTTAGGAAAAGGTGCTTGTTAACGGAGTCGAATGTCTTTCCCACAAAGTTCAATTTCCTCGCACAAGCTCTTGTGAAAAGAGGAAAGACAGTACAGTGGTAGGGCGCTTGTTTTGTATTATCTTTTCTTTACCTGCTCACCCCCGAATTCCATCCCAGCACCCCCAGAAGTGACTCCGAGCCAGGGGTAAGTCCTGAGCTTCCGACAGGGGTGGCTCAAAGACAAAAGAGTGAAAAATATGAAGATCTTGGGAGCCTCTGTTCTCCATCTATATTCTCCTTACTGAATTCTTCTTACTAAACCGACCTGGGGCTGGAGTGATAGCACAGTGGATAAGGCGTTTGCCTTGCATGCGGCCGACCCGGGTTCGATTCCTCCATCCCTCTCGAGCTACGGAGAGTATCTCGCCTGCACAGTAAAGCCTGGCAAGCTCCCCGTGACGTATGTGATACGCCAAAAGCAGTAACAACAAGTCTCACGATTTGTTGTGAGTCGTTACTGGTGCCCGCTCGAGCTAATTGAGGAACAATGGGAGGACAGTGCCACAAACTGGTCTGAAAACGTGGGCAAGTTTTTTTTTTTTTGGCTTTTGGGTCACACCCGGCAATGCCCAGGGGTTCCTCCTGGCTCTGTACTCAGGAATTACTCCTGGTGGTGCTCAGGGGACTATATGGCACACTGGGAATCGAACCAGGGACAGCTGCATGCAAGGCAAACGCCTCACCCACTGTGCTATCGCTCCAGCCCGAACCTGGGCAAGTTTTCAAAGCTCTCCCCACACTTTCATTATCTGAGATCTTGGGGCGGAGAGTCTGACCGAAGGTGGGGAGTTTTGCAAATGGAATCCTCACCTTATTAGTGTTGTCAACACTCATCCTCACATGCAGAAAAAAAAAAAAAACAGACTGCAGACACCTCCCCAGACAACCTGCACACGAACACACAAGCCACGTCCTGCAGAGGCACCGTCTACAAGTTAGGGTAGCTGCGTGAGTAAGTGTCTTATTTTTGTACTCCTCTTCCTGAACACTCCTTGAATCCCCGCCCCTCCCCCTCCAGCAAGTGGCACCTAGCTCCAGTCAGTCCATCCAACTGGTCCCCCAAATTCTGCTCCACCCACTCTTCAGGCTCCCCCTGGAGGGGACAGAGGGCTAAGTGTTGATTCCCTAGGGCTGCCCTAACAACGCTTCATGAACTGCATGGCTTAAAACAACACATTTACTCTC